AAGAATTCCTTTAGTTTGATAAAGCTCTTTCCCAAAGCATTGCTTATGAGTAAAAAAACAGAAGTTAGAATATGTTGGCACAGAGATGTCCAGACAGATCACATGATCAGGTGGTTTCAGAAACTGTTAAATACATAATAATGAATACAAAATTGATTTATCTTCATGTTTTCGCCATAAGAATTACATCTCCTAAGTTTTGGCTGCAGGATAGCATCCAAGTCATTGGTGATAATAAGCAAACATACTTACTCTCTCTCCCTGTCCTAATATACTTAAGATACTATTTGTGTAAAAAAAACCAGTAAGTAAGGTTAGAAATCTTCAAATAAACACAGAAAGGCTGTAGGAAGGGACTGACTTTTGAAATTAAAAAGAAACTGAGTTCTATTATTTTTTAGCGTTATAAAGACATTACTAATTGATATGAATTTAAGTTAAATGACCAAAATGAGAGGCTCTCAGCCTTATCCAAAAAACACCACCATTTAATCAAAATATTAATTCAAAATTATGAATTATTCAAAGTAATTATCAGAGAGAATTCTTAAAAGGAGCAGGGCATATCAAATATATTTTTCTCTAGTGGCAAATAACAATCAAATTCTAAACAATAGTCCATATAGTGGTCATGTTTGATATTTGGAAGTGTGCAACAGCACAAACAAGTCAGTCTGGATGTATGACATCCTGCCCAGTACAACGTGCACTTGGAACAGGTGGAACCAACTGCACATCTACTGCTGAAATTAGGAGAATTCTCACATGTGAAGGAAGAATTACATTAATAAAGCAGGTGGGGAAAATAAATAAGAATAAATTATGGCAATCTAATGTACACAGAACCATAGAATGGTCTAGGCTGGATTGAACCTTTAAATGTCATCTAGTTCAACTCCCCTGCATGAAGCAGCAACATCATTGACTAGATAAGGTTGCTCTGAGCTCCATGCACACCATACTTAATTTTTAAAAAAGGTGGGGGGGAAAAGAACTACTACTGTTGATGTCATCAGCAAAGAGGAACGAAAGGAACATATTTCACCCAAACCAACATCAACGCTCACAATGATACTGTGATTTTCCAACCATCTTGAAAGCAAGTCCATTGTTACACAGTCAAAACAGCTATTTCAAAGATGCTGCCAGGCAAAGGTGTCTTCAACACAGCATTGTCAGACAAGTATAGTCCACTCAAAAACACTTTAAAAAACAGCAGGCAGGAGCTCTTTTATCAAGACAGCATTTTATTGCCCAAAAAAAAATACACATTCCTTCCAAAATTTCATACTGTCCAAACTAGCAACAAAATACTTCAATTTGTAATTATTTTCTAATAATCTAGCATGTAATTTAAAGCATTTATTTTCTTCTCTGCCAGGTCACTATCACCAGCAGCAAGTAATCCCTTCTCCTGTGCCTAACTCACCCAACAGAAATGGATGAAGCAGGTATTCACCAGAACAGGTTCAGAGGATCTGTCTTCAGAAATACAATCAAAGCCCACAGAAAGAGGCTGAAGTAATACAGTACGCAGCCATGGTTACATCTTTGGAGCCTCTTTTATCTAGTAACATGCTTCCAGCATTCCCAGTGGTTTGGAGGAATATAATTGCATGCTATTACTTAAGAACTATGTGATTACTGTGCCACTGCCTTCCGCATAACCCAGCCTGTAATAAAAGTGATAAGAATAGCATTTATTATTTTTGAAATTATTGTTGCATTGCATTCACACTGATGTGGTTTAAAACATCTGACTAAACTTAAGACACTTTACATAGAGGTTTTATTTTCTTCTAACAGTACTGAATACCATGAAAACTCCATTCTGTGTGCAGAGACCTGATCAGGTCTCTCAACACTTGAGCAGAACTCTCAAAGACTGAGGAAGAAATGTTCTATCACATTTCTACAACCAAGATGGATTTAATGCAAAGAAAAGTCACAGAAGACAAAACATAACCAGAAGCCATAGGAATAGAAAGTGACAAGTACAGTTCAGCCTCTGTAGTTATTACAGAATGTAGCTGCAGTGAGAATTAGGAAAATCAAACTATCCCATCCCAGCTGCTAAAGGCAAACAAGCCATGTCCCTTTCATAAGTGCATCGATTGCTATATAAATCTGACTTCTAACTTCAAGAAAAAAATAAATGCGTGAACAGAAAATTTAAAGCTGATCACTTTTTTCTTCCTCAGACCTACGAAAAGCACTCAGAACCTTTCTAGAAAACAAGTTTGATAATATTTTATTTAAAATAAGCTGAGATGATCACTTTCTGAATCAAAAATATTTTCCGTCTGCAGTACTAAAACACTGTCAAGTGCAGACATGGTTTCAGTTTTCTGGAAATTCCCTGCTTCTCAGGGATGTAAACTTACACACCCCCCCCACACCCCCCGACTCATCTCCTCTACATCAAGGAGTATCTTCATTTTTCAGTGAGACTGGCAATCCTCTCCTCCCCTCAAAAAAACAGTAAAAGACTACCCCTACCCCAAAAACCAATGTTTCAGGACTTTAGAGACATGTCAGCACATCAGATTCAAAACTACAAATCACTCATTTCAAGGACCTATTCCAAGCAGTACGAGAAAGTTTTATACTATGCATATTTATGGAGAGGAAGCAGAAGAGAAAATTCCCACCAAGAGTTTGCCCCAAGAGTTTCAGAAATCTGGCCTTAAGCCAAGCATCTCTTCTGTTTATATATTTGTTATGTAATGCAACAAATGGGAAAAAAACATGGATTTTTTTGGAAATATATCAACACACAACTTTCAAGGCAGCTCCCATTAAACAGTTACAACAAGCTGTTACAAACAAAACTTTAAAGCAACCATAGATTAACACAGTGCTCTTCTAAAAAGAGACAATGATAAAAGGGCTGCTGTTGTCACAAGATTAAGACACTGGTTGATCTACACTGCTGTTTATATCAAACAAAAAGAGAATGAAAACACAATTCTACATTCAATTTCATATTGACTGTTTTCCATATAAACTCTGACAAAAGCACAATAATGCTTGAAGATAAAGACCATTTGTTTTCCTAGAAAAATCAGTAGAACAAGCAAGCATGTAAGAAGCAGGTGCCACCTCTACATACTACACACAGCTCATGCCTGTACAGCACATAGGTAAACAATACACAAATACTCACATGCAGTCACTACCAATCAAACAATTTTCTTCCCAGTATACAGTCCACTCAGTATACAATTTGTTTTTTCCAACAGTTTGGTTCAATATTAAACAAGCTGAATTTCTGGATTTCCAAACTATTTATCTTGTATTGCAGCATGTCTGCTAGAATTCAACTTTGAAAAAGAAATGAGATAAAAAACGCCTTGCTTGGGATGGCAAGCTGAAAGTCATTCTTCTAACCACACACATAGTTCCCCTACCATGCCTGTCCCTTTCACATCTGCTGCTGAGTCAGCTAATGGTTAGAACTGTAATACATGGTAGTTTCATTCATCAAGCTTCCTTCACTTTTTTTTAATTGATATAATGATATAGGTGCTCACACAGACCAATGTGAAATCCACTCAGCAACAGCCATCAAGTACAACAGTTAAACAACAATAACACATGACACCTACCATACATCTGAGGCACTAACTCTGGGACAGACACAACAAGCACGTGTGTCTCCATATACAGGAAGGCATAAATGCCCTTAGTGCAGGAATAGATGAGAATTTAGATTCATGTTATCGCATGTCTGCATGTAGGTATAGCATGTTTTGTGTGTTTTGTGGGACAAGAACAAGTGACTACACATCTCCTGCTCTGCTGCCACAAGACAACTATCTCCAGCAGGCAACTGGGGACACAAGGGCATGTGGAGGCCGTACGCTGAAGACCTTAGCAATACAATAATATATTCCTCTAATGAGGGTTTGCACCCTTCTACCCAGTGACACCATGTAAAGAAGGGATTAGGTTCCATCACCTGGGATAAACAGGAGCAGGATAACTCACATGACCCTTTGAGGTGGGTCTGCCTCCCTAGGTGAGAAATAAGTGTGCCCTTTTTCACGTTGGAAAAAAGGTGTGAGAGCAAGTTAACACAGACTGAATACATGTCTCCCCACCACTCCTGCCTGCAGGGTTGTCAGGCCTGTCCGCTCTGCAGATTTATGTGATGATGGTGTCCCCCACTGTAGAGTCCATACAGTGCCTGTGAAGACAAGGATTTCTCTCTACATTTGCCTTGTAAGATAGCATTGCATAGAGCTGGCACTTGTGGTTACAGACTGGAAGGACATTAAGGGGACATGTCAACCCTAGTGCTGAACGACTGGCACTTGCGAGAGGCTGCATGCTCCCTGAGGCATCTACACAGCAAACAGTCTTCCTATGGACATGCCTCCCCCTATGGAGGTGCAAACAGGTGACACTTTCAGAGGCACATGAGTATCTCTATGTGGTTACAGACGGACTTGCATCCCGTCCGTGCCAGGTGGGTTCACCCACGAGCAGCAGGCATCCACCCTGGCACCGTGTGCGCATTCCTCCCGCGGCTGAATCAAAGGTGGGCTGGCTGCCACCGCAAACCTCAGCAGTCAGGGAAGGGTGGCACAGAGACGCACATTCCCCAGAGAAGGAAGAGGACAGGTGCGAGCAAGAATTCCCCACACATTCCCCCAGTGTGCCCCGGGAGAGGCAGCTCTGTCTCACCAAACGCCGAGCGGGGGGATGGAGGGGAGCGTGCACAGATCCAGCCATATGGAAGCAAACACCTACCTCATACACCAAGGCGGGGGGAATAAAGAAAGCACAGGGTCCACGGAGAGATGGGGGTGGGCTCGGTTTCCGTGCGGGGACGGGCCCCGGAGGAAGGCGAACGAAAGGTTGGGAGTGGGTGTTCGCCTCACTGGGAGGTTGGGGGGTTCTGAGGGGGCGGGGAGGGGGTCCCGGGCGGTTCCACAAACCCGCCCTCTCCGCTGCCCGGCCGCCCCCTCCCTGCGCGCCCGCTCGCCCGGGCTCACCTGCCCGCACCGTGTCGGAGAGGTCGTGGCTGAGGGCGGCGGCGCTGCGCGGGAACTCCTTCAGCTTCCTGCCGCTCAGGTTGAGCCCCCCGGAGTGCGCCGCCTCCTCCAGCGCCCGCTCCAGACCGCGGTTCAGCGGCGCCTGCAGGAAAAGCGCCCCGCTGCCGCCGCCGCCGCCGCCCACCCCGGCGGCCGCCGCCAGAGCAGCAGAGGGGAAGGGCTGCGACTCGCCTCCCAGCGTCGCCATCTTTCCCTCGCCGCTGGGGCTACCCGAGAGGGCCAGCAGACCTGCCTCCCTCCTTCCCTTATTCTCTCCCTCCCTCCTTCCTCCTCCTCCTCCTCCTACCGCTCGCGGCGGCGGCGCGAGCAGGGGGCGGAGGCGCGCGGCCCGGGCGAGGCGCGCCCACTGCGCATGCTCCGCCCCTCCCGGCACCGCTCCCCGCCGCGGCGTCACCTAGCGGCGGCGCGCTGCTCCCGGCGCTGGAGGTGCCGGCGGGGAGGCGGAGAGGGGGCGGCTCTCCATTGTTTCCTTGCCACAGCATTCCTTGTAAAATCGGCCCGGGAGGCCTGCCCGTCGCCGGCTTGGGCCCCTTGTGCGGGCAGCCGGTGGAGCTGTCCCCCAGCAGGGCCCGGGGGCTGGATGGGTGGCGGGCGGTGTGAGCCTGCAGGTGTGCCGGCAGCAGCGTGTGCGGGCTCGGCTTTCCACACTGGGAAGTTAAAGGCTGCAGCCGCTGTTGCCACCGAGCGAGGCCTTGGGGAGCATCTGCCCTGCAGAAAAGCTTTCTGTGCCGTGAGCGGCCGGCTCACCCCTGTCTGTGGCTGCTGCGCACAGCCTGCCCCAGAGCCACCCTCCAGGGTCTCTAGTGACAGACCAAGCGTGGGAGCCAAACCCGTTCGGTTTGCGGTGGGATGACCTTTCCCACCGGGTGAGGCTGATGGGTTTGGTTTATTTCGCCCTTGCTCTCTGCAGCTTGGCAAAGTTGAGCCCAAGAGATGGAGAGGACCAAGGCCAAGTGTTCCCACAGGGGTTACGGAGTTTAAAGATAAAACAGGACTCGTCCAACATCACCCCTGACCTGTGCTTTACAGACCATTACATTTAACTCACTTACCGCAAGCCGTGATCAATGGTTGACATTAAACCAAAGCCTTCCCAGCTCCAGGAAGTGAAACTGCTGTGTGCTGCAGGAACAAGGAAGACCTAACTGGCACAAGGAAATAAGCCCAAGTTTCTGAAGAACAGGAGACATCACAGCAAGTTCAGCAGTCGCAACCAGAAACAGCACTGGGGAAAAATGTGTTAAGAAAATGGGAGGAAGGGTGTTAGAGGTGGACCTTTTCACATAAAAATATCATAGCATCCATTAAAAACTTGTTCTTTATAATTAAGATACATTCTCAGTAAACTTGTTCTTTATAATTAAGATACATCCTCAGTATCAGCATTTTTCATTTATGTTTTATATGCATTGTATCACTGTAAAAGTGTCAGCAAGCAGCCTCGCAGTGTTTTTAAAGAGATGCTTTACATTAAGGAAAAAGCTGTGGGGTAGAAGGGGGTTATTTTACTCTAATTACATTTATAATCACTTACAATATAACCCCTGAACTTAATCTCGAGTGCAAATTCCCCTCATACCTACTACTGCCAGTTCTTCATGTTTGATGCGGAGATCTTAGTTTTTGGCATGACTAAGTCAGTGTACTACCAGTTCAAGAAAATTTTGGGTGCACCAGAGAGTAAATCTTGACAGCATTCCTTGGAACAGCCCTTAGCCAAAGTTAACCAACAGTTACCACAACATTTGTGCCCAGATATTACATTGCTTTTGACAAAGCTTGTTGGTGGGCCATGAAGACTGTATTACCCACAAATTTCCACTAGTCACAGCATGTTTTGGTTTTGTTAAAATGTTTAATTCCAGTTTGCGTGCAATCTTTGCATTGCTGCTGGAAAGCATAAAGAAATAGATAAATAGCTACATCTTCTCAGCAATTTCAAGAAAAGTGTTGATAAACAGTACATAATAAAAACATTATTCAATTCAAGTTGAATAAACTGTGAATAAGAACAAACTGCTAGACTCCCCCTATATTTTTAATGCAATTTTTTAAATGCAAGTTTAATGAACTAAGGACTATATTCTTAAACACTTAAATAAATCTGATATACTGCAAATGACTTTGCATGGAAGATTTCCTGTGTATTAAATTACCCAACATAATGGAATTTTATTTGGAAATTTTAAATTTAGAACAAAACATTCAGGCAGCATAGATGAAAAATTCCTCTTCCAGCATCATGTCTTTACAGTCAGGAATCAGGCCTGTCTTCTGGTGAGGTTTGTGAAGTTTTATCACCAGTGGAACACCATGTCCCTTCCTCCCCCACTTCTGGTAAGACATTATTTCTAAAGCTGATTTTTATTTGAAAAAAAAAAAAAAAAAGTTTTTATTTTTCTCTTCATTGACCTCTCACCCTAACACTAGTCCTGAGAATTGATTCACAGCATCTTGCTGAAGGGAGATGAGCAGTGATACCTTTCTCGGCCTTATTTGAAGGAGGTCCCCAAAGCCCAGAGGAGCCAGCAGGTTACCCTGCTTGCAGGCAGACACCGTGTGCCCACCTTGCCTGCCCTGCTGGGCTCACATGAGGAGCCTGTGGCTGGCAAAGGCACACAAATCAGCACAGCCTTCCTTCTTGAGACATGCAGCATCAGGATAGCTAGGATTACAGAAAGGCTGGGGCTACACAGGCACTTGGCCTAGCAGGGGTTAAAGATGTAGGTTTTACTTTATAGCAGTGCAAGGGCACACATCAATAATCAGGGATCAAGACTGATTTAAACTGCTTTTTGATCTGAGCAGCTGAGCTGCAATCCAGGCATGACCTGTGCTTATCACACACTAAGTTGAAACTTCTGGAAGTAACACTATGAAAACTGTCCATGTTACCAAGACTGTGGAAAGCAAAAAAAAGAAAAAAACCTGCATAGAACTGACACTGTTCATTGCCTTCGCTTTCTCTCCGCTCTGCCTGAGCACTGCGCCAGATCTAACTCTGTTCCTATAGATACAAAGGATTAGAAACTGGAAGCACTACAGAACAATCACACCAGCACCAGTTTCCTATCTATGCAGATGCATTTGGAAGGTCATGCTCACTCCATATTTTGACTTTGGTCAGATCACTAAGCGGGCACATCCTGGCACAGAAGCTAAACTAAGCTAGTGACAAGGTGTCACTGCAAGAGCCCTTCCATTCCTTGCCCTCACCAGTTCCTACGTGACAGTATTTGCATTTGTTTGTCTCTTCAATAAGACCTAGAGCAGCTTAAAAGGACCAGCTCTAGGAGGAAAAGAGCGGATACTCTTCAGCAAGCTGATACAAGTGTAGCAGAGGAGAGAAGAATGCAGAAGGAAGTTTTATGGATGGTATCAGGAGACAGGTGACTGTTCTGCCCATTGGGTCACACACAATGGTTGTGAGAAGAAAACTCATATCAGAAATGCACAGAAAGTACCACAGCTAAGGGGCACATGAGCCTTAGAGCTTCAGAGTGAATTTCTATGACTCTAAATTGGCAGGAAAAAAAATTATATTACTCTAAATTGGCAAAAAAAAAAAAAAAAAAAAAAAAGGCAAATGGCAAGGCACATGTGTCTTGTGAAGATCAGAGTTGGGTGGGGACTTATGTGCAGGGAGTTGGTCCCTCACGAGAGAGCATGGGACCTCAGTGTGGGTACCTGTCCTGTGCTAGACATGGCACTTTCACAGCATGCAGCAGGAAAGCCTTACTTTACCTCAGCATGAAGAAATTCACCTCATGCTCCATGTGCTCTAAGATAATGCTGAAGGAGGAATTGTGTGAAGTAGTTCAGACACAGTCAGGGTACACCAATGCTTTCTTCACATGAATAGCACAGATGGATGAGCTGTCTGGTCTGGAGACAGAAACAACATACACATTAAGTAAGATGTCAAACAGAAAGTGTGTGGCACTCAGCCTCCAAGGCTGCCTCTGTTTGGTGCCACACAAAACAGCAGCTACAATTCAGGACACATTACACATCCTTGGTAGCTTGACAAACAGCACCAGGACAAAGGACAAAGAAAATTACTAGAAGAATCTCAAGAGAAAAAGTATGCAGACTGAAGCATCAGGTGGCACAGAGTGAAAGATGTTCCTTTCAATTAGAGCACAGACACCCTGCACTGCTCACAGCATTCCTGGGAAGAGCAGTTCATGGCAGACACACCAGAAGGATTAGTAGCCTACACAGAGCAGACCCACCAGGAGAATGAGTAGCCTACGCAGAGCAGACAGTGCGCTGGAGCTTTCTTGCTGCAAAGCTGGTGAAAGGAGTTTGAAAGGCAAGGAAGCTATATCAGGAAGTAGCTCAGAAAAATCCATCTATAGAACACCTACCTCTCAGAATACTCAGAAAGAAAGAAAATAAAAAAGGGTCAGGGGAAGAAGAGAACAATTAATTGATAGGAGACAAGAGATCAGGGGGAAGCTTGCATATAAAGCAGGAGCTTAGAAAGGAGACAAGCAGGATAGTCACTGCTTAGAAGACAAACAAGGTTCATCCTTACATAGACTCAAGCAAGCTCACTATATAAGGGAACAGAATTATTTAACTGCTACAGAAAAAGAAGTGCTTCTTAGTGCCTGCCACTGATTGTGACAAGCATTGGGAGCTCAGGAAAGCATCTCTCTTACTGTGTCCTGAGACCTAGCAGGTGGGCAGGCTCAAAACACACCCTGAGTGGTGGTTGGTGGGACTCAATTGCCACAGAATGAACCTCAAACACCCCCACGTACACTGGGCAAATTGGCAAGGTTCAGTGCCACTGTCATGGTAGAGATGCTCTGCACAGACACTGATGCAAGAGGACAGAAGCTGCAAGAGATCATGACCACAAGCTCAGTTCTCAGCTAACTGGTCATCAAAATGGACCTGAATGCAAACTAAAACCCAAATGAAACTTAGTATCACTGAAACACTGGAAATTACTAAGGAGGTAAAGGCAATGCATTTACATGTCCATACTTGAAATACTAATTTAGCTCACATTACTAGCTGTAAACTGGCAGAGTTTCTTTCAAGTTTTTCAGACAACCTTGAAATCTGCAATGTGATAGAGTGATAACTATAGCCATTCTTACCTTGTATCAACTTCAGCAGAGGTTCAGGGGATTGAAAAAGTGATGGGAGCCTTGTTCTTGAAACAGGAAGAGCCTATATGTGTTTGAACTATGGATAGGAAAACAAGACATACCTAAGCTGGGGAAGGATTATCTTCCAGGAGTTTGCCTTTATGA